TAAATATGCTTATAAAGGAGAATCAATGATAGAAACAGATGGAATCCGATTATTACCTCAATAAACTCTAAAATGGATGCAAGACCTTGGAACTTCTTCTTCTCCTTTGGATCTATCCTCCTTCTTCTCTTCCAAAACTTCAAGATTTACACAAGAAATGCTCAAATACTCAATGGAATGGTTAGGGTTTGCTAAATGATGCTTTGAGGGTGAAGGAGACGAGTTTGGGGGCTCATAATATGGTTTAAATAGGGTGCAAACCCGGGGATTTAGGGTTTCTACCTGGCAGGCCGAGTCGCCGAGTCCCGAATATGGACTCGCCGAGTCGCCGACTTACACGTGCTCGAAATCCCCGTCTCTACTCGACGAGTCGGGCTATAGACTCGCCGAGTCCCTCTTAAAAACTTCTAAATAAATAACATGGAAACAACATACCAGAGACGGGTCGTTACATTCTGGCACGCAAATCGAGGTAAAACGGGAGAGAGAAGGGAGAAAAATAGCAAAAGAGCGGGCTGCACTCGCATCCTATTTATAGGAGGCTGAGGCCTTGCAGTACGTGGGGCGTACTGCCTTACGCGGGGCGTAAGCCTCGGTTCGTAAGCGCATGCGTCATCCGAAGAACTCGAGTGCGAGTGTCGACATACCTTGGGTACGCGGGGCGTACTTCGGATGAGTCCGGGGACTCCTCTTCGGATAATGCCGGATTTAATAATTAATTTTAATTATTAATTATTTAATAAACTTCGAAAATTCATATCTTCTTCATACGAACTCCGTTTTCGACGTTCTTTATATCCACGCGAAGGTGAGACCACGCTCTACAACTTTCGTTTAGACTCAGTCGGCTAATTTTGACTTTATTTTTATTATTTATTTTTAATAGGTCGGGATTGAAAATTTCGTTATAAATTCATAACTTCTTCGTTTGACGTCCGTTCTCACCTAACTTTTTATCGCTTCGATACTAACAACGAGATCTTCGACTCGTTTATATCACTAAGGCTAAATATCGCTCTAACGTAAATTTCACTTTTTACATCATTCAGCGTTGTCGGTTCTGTCGCGAAACTTCGACAGGTCATAACTTCTTCGTTATAACTCGGATTTCGGCATTCTTTATATCTTCGGAAACCTTGTTTCAACTACTACAACATTATCCAGAGATATCAAGTTTATTTTATACTTCAATTTTGACGCTTATTTTTATTCTTAATTAATCAAACCACCTAATTAAGCAATTAAGCACAAAACACATAATACTCAAATAATACACTTCTATTATTTCAAAATGGGTTACAAAGGTTAGCCTAGACTATTATATCAACATTAATGATAGGCTCAGAAACACAGGCGTTACAAAATTTGCCATGATCACAAAACTTGAAGATTTCTAAAGAGCGAAAGTGATTTTTAATGGGTTTTTTCAAGAGAGAGGAAGTAAAAATCACCTGAATTCTAGTGAAGAAAATCGAATTATGAATAGAATTAAAGATGAATTCGATTTCTAGAATCCAAAAACTCTCTAGATCACGACGATCAAAGATCAAAAAATGAATCACCAAATCAAGAAAGCCACCATGGATCAATTATTGATTGAATCAATAACACCTGCTCTGATACCAATTGATGTGAATTATGAACATTGGTTTGGCATGCAAAATTAAATAACTCACAGAGAACACGATGATTTCGGTGTTTAAGAGATGCATTCGATTATGAAGGGTGTTTACAAAAAGGATCTAGATCTAAATCTACATAATTAACACACACTAACACCCTTAATGTTATATTCTCAAGCACACCTCCATATGTGGAATGAACCCACCTTATATAGAGGTGTTTACATCTCTCTCTCTCTCTCTCTCTCTCTCTCTCTCTCCCCCTCTCTCTCCCTCTCCCTCATTTCACAAGGCTAATTTACCACATGCCAGTGGGTCTACAAAAGTAAAACCATTTACAAAGTCATACATGGATAACTTTGTACCCAACAGTTCCCACGGCAATGAGCCAAGACCACGTGGGGGTTCTAGTGAAGGCTAGTAAAGACCACGTGGGGGTTTCACGTGACACTCGGTGTAAGACCTTGGATGGTTTCCACTGCTTCCCTGTATGTTTGTATGCATGGATTTTGTGGGTTATGTAGCTTTTATAGCTAATATGATTATGTGATTATGTGGATTGTGTGGGTATACTTTGGGGAACTCAGTAAGCATTAACTTTCGGTTTTTTGGATTTGTTTCAGGTACATCTGAGTCTAAGGGCAAGGGCAAGACTTGATGACGCGGCGTGCACTCTCTCTCAGGCGTTTTATAGGACACTATGATGATTGGATTAATGTTGTTGATGTAATGAATTTGAAAACAAATGTACTTTAGATTTTACGGTTTATTGAAAATGTTTTTGGTTATTTAAAAATGAAAATTTTCTTTTGAAAATTGGGTCATTACAGTAATACCATGTAAAGTTGCTAGCTTTACGTCCATGCATGGAATCAAGAGGGCTAAAACACTCAAATAAGGCTTATCAAGGGACTTCGGACATGAAGGAGGGCCAAGACTTGATAAAGTTGGCAAACAAAATCATATGTGTGCATGCAACCCTAATTCTTGGATCTATGTTTTCTCTAATTGAACATACAACTTTTGAACATCAAATGGAAAACCCTAGCAGATCTATATTATTTTCTAAAACCATAACTAGGGTTAGTAAACATACATTTGATTATTATGTAGTAATAACAATGAAAATCCAAGTCTTCTTGAACCTTGAGAGCAAACGTCACAAGTGTCACACCTCTAATAGATCACACACAAACTAAGCAAGAGGATGAGATAGGAGATATGAGGAGGAGCTCTAGAAATTCAATTATTCTTCTAGGGTTATAGATGACCAAAAATTCTAATGCTTAAGGGCATATTTATAGTGCAGATATGATACACTAGATAACCTAATCCGAATAAAAAATTATTAATTCAAATTGGTATTATCCATCTCCTTAATTATTAACATGGGATAATATAGAAACTCTAATTATCCTTAGGAATTTCGTCCACCACCTTCCCTAGGAAGGTTCTGGAACCTCTTGTTCAACTATTGCACAATTGCACTTTAGTCACTACACTTTTAACTAATTCCTTTAATTTTGAAATTAATGCCAATTAATTTCTAATTAAATATTAATTAAATGTTACTATTTATAATTAATATACTATTCTCATAATACACTAACAAATTATTTATTTCATTTTATTAATCAAATAATAAATTCAACCTCTCTCTCCAAAAGTCATCCTGTCTATCTGCTAGCTATGAGGGCAACCTAAAATGATTGTGCTACTATCAATTCAAGTATATACCAATTATAGTTATGAGCTTAGACACCTAATCCAACATTATGTACCTTAGGGATCTGGGTGTTACATGCTTGCGGAAGATTCTGAAGAAGATATGGATGAAGATGCTATATATAAAGTGATAATGGTGACCGATTCATAATCACATGCCACATCTCCACCTACTCATACTTGCTCTTTCCTTAGGTTTCCAAGTCGTCATGCCCAAAAAACTGCTAGGATTTTAGTCCCAGGCAGGGAGCCCACTACTATGAAGCATAACAAGAGATCCTCTACACGTAAAGGGGATAAACCAACCTGCTTAGGAGAGCAACCAAGTGAACCAGTGGACAATTGAAAGGTAGACTGTAGGAACATTTGAGGAGGGACAAGCATCGGGGGCTGCACCCCCACCACATATGGACATTGATGATTTATCCGACCTATTTGAGTAGAACACCCTTTTACACAGACAAGTATGACATGTCAGTGACGAATTAAGCACCATGTAAGGACAAACAATACAAATGAATGGGAGAATGGCTCGAATGAAACAACAACTAGATCAATACCAGATCTCGCAAGACAATCTCCATCAAAGGATGGACTACCACCACAACAGCCGGATGAATTGTAATGGAATAGTGACTAGTATGGAGACTTAAAACCAAACTGCCCTTTCAGTGGCACACGAAGTAGAGTAAAATGCATGCAACACTAGAAGAGAGACCCGGAGCGTTGGAAGGGAAACACACAATACTAGAAGGAAAGTATGAGGAGACGTCCCATGCAATGACCTAGTTTATGAGGTTTTATTAACGAGATAACGGGGCAAGTTTTTGAGAAACTTGTAAATTCTGGATGACAAACTTTTCGGATACCTATTATTAAGATATGTAAACTTTGTTTGTTAGTAGGTCTTTATTTTTGAAAACAGTAAAGACTAATGTTGCTTTTTTTAAAAAAAACACCATTAAAAGACAATAAATTTTATTATTTTGCTTTTTAAATTTACAAAGTTAACCGGGCTACAATCGAATTCCTTCTTAAAAACAGCCACACATGCTTGCTGATGTGGCTAAAAGTGGCCACATAATCTGCTTACTCGGCTGGCTTGTAAAAAGAGGGAATATTCGTAGCATGGGAAAGGGTAAAAACCCTTGGTGGTTTTCTTTTTTTGCTTCGGCACGGGAACGACGAAGGGACGGAAGGAACCACTGTAATCCAAATAATCGCTGGAATCAAAGGGATCAACAAGAAGAAGTGGAACGAGCAACGAAGAACAGCTCATACGTCCATTAATCGGGTAAGTTTTGCGTTTTTTTTATTTGGTTTCAGTCGTGAAGGAAGAACGAACCGAGATGCAGCTTTTTGTTGTATTTTGGGTTTATCTATATTGATTAATTACGTTTTGAATCACAATTGAACGATTGTCACTGAGTTGATCATTAGGTTTATCTGTATCGATCAATTTCTCGTTGCAAGAGTTGATATATTTACCTAAATATCGCACCTTTTCAATCCTTTTCTTTTATGGTACTTGTGAAAACCTTTTCCTGATTCTATAATTGATGTGGGTATAATCTGTATTTTCCTTAACTTGAACAGAGGATTGAAAATAAAATGCTACAAGTAGACAAGTGACCTTCTCCAAAAGAAAAAAAAATGGGGAAGTCGAACCCATTCTCCTTTCGCCGTAGCAGCAGCACAACCAGGCGTCGACGAACAACGAAGAAGGTCGGCGAGTCGCAGCAATCGGCCAACGCGCCGTCACCTCCGGCCAACGTCGGGGATGTTGTGGCGGCGAAACCGAAGAAGAAGGCTGGTGGAGCGAGATTATGGATGCGGTTCGATAGGTCTGGCGAATCTGAGCTTTTCGAGTGTGATAAGAACACCATCATCAAACGGGCGGGTATTCCCGCTAGGGATTTGAGGATTCTTGGCCCTGTTTTCTCCAACTCCTCCAATATCCTTGGTACTCGCTTTGATTTTTAGGGTTTCTTTTCTCCGATAAAATCCATCGATTGACACCTTACTTATTCACGATACAGCTAGGGAGAAAGCGATGGTTGTTAACTTGGAACACATTAAAGCCATAGTCACAGCAGAAGAAGTCCTTCTACTCGATCCTCTTCGTCAAGAGGTTCTTCCATTTGTGGATCAACTGAGGCATCAACTTTCTCACAAAAACCATTTCAACACTTCTGGTATACAACAAGGTGGACGCCAGCTTGCTTTACGTGATACAGAATCAAACCTCTCAGCTTCTGGAAGATGGCAACCTGTTCCTGAAACCGCTGAAGGTTTGCAAGCCGAGCTTCCATTTGAGTTTCAAGTTCTGGAAATCGCATTAGAGGTAGTGTGTACATATCTGGACTCAAGTGTAGCAGATCTTGAAAGGGACGCTTACCCTGTTCTCGATGAATTAGCTAAGAATGTCAGCACCAAGAATCTCGAACGTGTCAGAAGTTTGAAAAGCAATCTTACTCGTTTGCTTGCAAGGGTACAAAAGGTAAGGGATGAACTTGAACATCTTCTAGATGATGATGAAGATATGACACAGTTGTATCTAACAAGGAAATGGTTACAAAATCAACAAAGTGAGGCTTTGTTAGGAGGTGTTGGGTCAAATAGCTTCCCAAATAATGTCCTACATCTGCGCAGATTAAGCTCTGTAAAAAGTGGAAGTATGCTGACAAGTGGCAATTTGAATGATGATGACGTGGAGGATCTTGAGATGTTGCTTGAGGCTTATTTCATGCAACTTGATGGAACTCGAAACAAGATTTTATCTGTCAGTATCTCTATCTTTTTTGTAATTAAACCAAAATATATTATCCAATGAGATTACTCTGTCTAATACAGTCTGATACAGTACAACCTGTTCTGGTCTGTCTTGTTCTGTGTAGGTTCGTGAGTACATTGATGACACGGAAGATTATGTGAACATCCAACTGGATAACCAAAGAAATGAGTTAATCCAACTGCAGTTAACATTAACCATAGCTTCATTTGCTATAGCTTGTGAGACATTAGTGGCTGGATTATTTGGGATGAATATACCATGTCGATTATATGACATTGAAGGCATATTTGAGCCATTTGTTGGAGGCATAACTGCTGCTTCTCTTGTGCTTTTTTTGCTTGTTCTTGGATACGCCAGGTGGAAGAAGCTGCTTGGTTCTTAATAAGTTATTATCTTATTGGGTTTGAATTTTTGTTTTTGTTTGATATTATCATGTGATGAATGTTATGATTGCCTTTAGTGGGTTGCTTTTATTTTTGAATGGTTTAATTAGTGATTTTCTGTTTTTTTTTTAAAGACATACACTCATTCTCACAAATACACACACAAAAGATATTTTTTGATAAAAGGAAAAACTAATTTTTATACCAAAAAAAGCTGTGAATGCTTAAAAATATATATTGCTATTTATTGCATTTACCATATAAATGCAGTAAATAGCATTAAAGTTGCTGAGTTGGTCTGTAAAAAGTTAATTATGGGCACATGTTTGGTAAGGGCAATATGGGAAAGTAAAAAAAACCTACATTCTTATAAACAACTTCTTAGACAGAAAAACAGATACAGGGACTAAATGCATTAAATATTAAAAGAAGAATTATACAAAAAAACTTCTTTATTATGAAGTAGATTGGTATCTTTTGCATTTACCCCTTACCTAACACAAACGAAAGTTAATTTTTTTTAGAAGAACAAAATTTCATACAAAATAATCTGCAATCTTGTAAAGTAGATTGCTATTTATTGCATTAAATATAATTATATTGCTGAGTCGATATGGCAGAATTTAATTTTAGGCACATGTATTATAGGAAATTCATTAATTAAAGAGCATGATTGACAATGGAAGGGCATTTTTGGCAAATTTGATTGTGTGTAAAAGTATATTGGTATTTATCGCATTTGGTACATTCATGCTTTAAATGCACTAAGTAGCAGTATACTTTATTGAATTAATCAAAATTGAAAGTAGTTTTTTGTAGTGAATATACAAAAAATGGCCATTTTGGATTTTTTGGTAAATTTTACCATTTTTGTTCTTTTTTGTCATTTGGATGAGTTAAAAATGTTACAGAAAAGAACTTTATAATGCTATGAAAGACTTATAATTGTTTTTGGAAAAAAAATAAATTTAGACTTTTTTGGTCAATTCGACCATTTTTATATTTTTTGTTTTTTTTGGTCATTTCAACCGGTTAAAAAGGAACAAAAAAAACTTATACTAATATTAAACACTAATAATAGAAAGTACAGGTTTTTTTTTGTGGTTCCAATAATCATTTTGATTTTTTGGATAAATTTTTCATAGTTACTATTTTGTTTTGTTATTCTTAATTTGGACCATTTAAATCATATATGTTGAATAAATAGCAATATACTTTATTGACTAAATCAAATCAGAAAGTAAAAGTTTTTTTAGTGAAAGAGACTGCTTTTACCTTTTTGGTCAATTTTGTGATTTTGACTGGTTTTGGTTGTTATTTTATGATTATGTCATTGTTATTATTTTATATCATTTATCAAGCTAACACATATCCTCAAAACCAACTTATTATGGTTACAATTTTTTATGTTGATCTTGAGACCATTTTAGTCGATTTTTTAAAATATATTCTATTAATAAAATAAATTAAAAATATAGTATCACAAAGAAACAAAGAAGGTGTTGCTATTTTTAGTATTAAACTTGATAAAAAAAATATTTATCTATTCGACTTTCAGCATATATGGTTTATTTCCATCAGTTATATAAAGAGTTTTTATCTTTAAATTAATAGTTAAGTTTTTAAAACTTAAAATCTAGAAAATTGTGAAAACGTAAACGTCCTTTTTTTTCCCCTCAAATACAAGGAAAACACTACACTAGTATTCTCTTTGTCTGGTTATATACAAACATCATTTTTGTTTGCTTGTAATTTCTTTCTTTCTAAAAGAGGTAAATTGTTGTGTTTAGAGATAAGTGCTCAATACGTTTTCTCTTTGCTTGTAATTGCTTTCTTTCTAAAAGAAGTAAAAGTTTGAAATATTTACAGCTGTAATCAAAATCTCAAAGTTGTGGGAATGTGTAAATTGTTATAACTGTAAGGGCTGGTATTGTAGTTGAGCTCAACCTCTAGGGAGTCAAATGTAATAAACCAACTAAGCATTCTTCCTTTGCTTGCAACCTGCCAATTTTACAGCTTGCAAACTTGCAAGTGGACAAAAAGTGTGGTGGATTTCATGATTTTTGTTTACTTTTTCTGTAATTCATAAAATTTTTAAATAAATAATAGTACAGATTTTATTTTATTTTTGGCTAAACATTCATTTTTTCAATTATAATATTATATAGAGAAAATACCAAATATAACCATTTTTCTTAATAATTTGCTAAAACTAACCAAAAATTTAGCATCTCAAAACATCCATCAAATTTGAAATCACAATTGCAAAATGCCACTATTCTATATTTATTTTCTATATTTTACACATTTTCTTTTCTATATTTTACACATTTTCTTTATAAAATATTGGGAATATAATTTTTGAAGATCCCTACCACACCAAATAATATTTTCTTGATAAAAAAAAAAAAACGATTTTCGTAAAAACCTGAACAATTTCATAGTACACAATGTATTGCATTTTGCAATGGATCCTACGTAATATGTGGTTATATTTAAGAACTTGGTTAATATTCGATGATTATTCTATAAATAATTAAGAAATACGATTATTTTTGTCAAGTTTATCAATTATATATCTTGATCTTAAAATAAAACTGTAATATATAATCTAAAATATCTATTTTGGTACATAATTTCAAAAAATATTCTAAAATATGATTTCCATATAAAAGTTTATTTTATTATTTTATTAGTATTAGTATATTATTATTTTTGTAAATGAGATAGTATTATTAGGAGGAGGTAATAATAAATAAGAAAAAGGCAAAAAGGTGTAAAAACAAGAACATCTCATCTTGGGTTGTCAAACCCGAGCTTTATTCATCAAGCAAGTCAACGAGAAAGGAAGGATTCGTAAGACGAAGAAAACCCTAATCATCAAAAATTAGAACAAGAAGGAACTCTGCTTCGATTCGATTTGTAATCTTCGTTTTTATCTGATCACATTGCCTATTCTTGAATATCTTTACTGCGTGTATAGAGGTAATTACGGGTTAATTTCCCGTCAAAGTTTTTGCTGATTCTGAGCTTTCAATTATTCATCTTTCGGATAATGTAGGTGAAGGGGAGTTCATCAGTATTTGATTTTTTTTAATTGATTGATTGTTGCGATAGGACACATAAGAGTTGTAGGAGTAACATGTAAGGAAAAAATGAATTGTTCGATAAGAATTTATTTTGACTTAATTTTTTTGTGATTAGAAGTGTCGTAAATGGTTTGTGATGTTTTCTAAGGGATTACTTCTAAATCTGGATGCTGCTTTCTATTTCTATTGAATTGGTTTCAGTTTTTTTGCAGGGATCTGTACTCTAACAATGGCGAACTCCAAGGGTCCTTCAACAATGAGAAGTACGATGTACACTGGAAAAAACCCTTTACTTCCCCCTAAAAGTCCATTTCCAAGCATTGCTCCATCATATGCAGATTATGTCTCCAATCCTGCTGTTGCCCCAAAAGGTCCACCAAAATACAGAGATGCAAATTCACATCAACGAACCTCATCTGAAAGCTTTCTGATAGAAGAACAACCTTCTTGGCTGGATGATCTTCTTAATGAACCAGAATCGCCTGTAAGAAGAGGGCATAGACGTTCATCAAGTGACTCTTTTACATTCATGGAAGCAGCTAATGCTGTTTTCAACAACGAATATAGAGCACAAAATGATTACAGATTGAGAAACTTGGGTTCTGTTCCTTCATGGGGACCTCAAGATTTTGATATTTATAAAGATTCTCGAAATCCACCTTTCTATGGGGAACATAATGTGTTGATGAAAAACAAGAATCGGGCATGGGATCCTTCACAAAATGCATTAACACATTCTAATGCTTCAAGGGAGCATGATGGGAATACCTCAATAGCAATTGAGAAGAAAGATGCAGTTGAATCTGTTAGACAAGATGGAGATAGTTCTGAAAGAAAGGATTCTTCTAACAATAAACCTTCTGCATCAGAAACAGACACAAAACGTGCTAAACAGTAAGCAAATTTTTTCTCTTTTGTTCCTTTCGAATCTTGATTATAATTATTCATGCTATATATCTGGGAATTGGGATACTAAAAGTCAAGTTATTTTTCATCTTTATGACTCTTGAAATTAAGTAAAGCTGTGGCTTCTTATCATATTGAACCTTTTTTTTTTTTTTTTCTGAAAATTTTGTACTTCAATGGATTTCTCACTCTTTTTATCAAGATGATATCTTTTATCTGGTTTTCATATGAGATAAATGGCTCATCTAATAATCAACTTGATACAGGCAATTTGCTCAACGTTCACGGGTCCGGAAGCTTCAGTACATTGCTGAGCTGGAAAAGAATGTGCAGGCTTTACAGGTATAGATTAGAAATGTTGAAAAAAAAGAAATGTTTTTATTAATATTTTATTGATTCTAACCAGGTCATGTTATATATTTTGTGACTGTAGGCAGAGGGTTCTGAGGTGTCTGCTGAGGTGGAATTTCTGAATCAGCAAAGTCTTATTCTGGGCATGGAAAATAAAGCACTGAAACAACGGTTGGAGAGTCTGGCTCAAGAGCAATTGATTAAATACAGTAAGTTTATATAATTACAAGAAATAATTTGGAAAATGTAACATTGAAAATGGAATGTAAAGAGACAATCTTGGTTAATGTTTTGGGAAGGAATTGGAATCTGTGAAAGGAATTGGAAATTGGAATATGAAGGAATTATAACATGTCACAGGAAATTGAATGGAATTCGTTAATAATAACTTAATAGTTTTTAAGTTTTCATTTATGGTTAAATTTATTATTTTTATTTGTTTCAATATATATATATATATATATATATATATATATATATATATATATATATATATATATATATATATATATATATATATATATGACGAGGGTATTTTGGTCTTTTGAAAAAGAAAGAACGGAATTGAATTGAAATCCTTCCACTCTTCCATAGGAATGGTGAAATCCATCAAACATGGAACTTGAAAGATTCCGATGGAATTGAATTCCGTTCATCTGGCAACCAAACACGCCATGGAATGGAATCTCGAATTGCAATTCTGTCGGATTCCGGAGGAATCCGATGGAAACTCAAGATTCAATTCCATGGCGTGTTTGGTTGCTAAATGGACGGAATGCAATTCCCTCGGAAT